CTAGCTGTTTTTGTTACTTTTTTTGCCATCTTATTTGTAAAAAAAAAGAAAAAAATTGTATGCCTTTTTATAACTGTCTGTTGTTGTTGCTGTTGTCCATTGATGTCATCATTCTTTGTTGAAATCAGGTCTCTTGTAAATGAGTCCTTGAGGCTCAATGGGATTTATCTGTCTAAATAAAGGTTGAATGAAAAAAAATATATATATGTGTGTGTGTGTGAGGGATCACTGTACTTTTGGTGTTTATCTCTATATTTGGAGCTGGAGGTTGTTGTGAAGGGTAAGATGGCCACCATAACTCTGAGTTGTTATTCATATGTGGATGGCACTGACCGCTCCTTGGAAAAAAACGGATCCTGAGATGTAGGAATATGTTGTTCTGTTGTCTGTGAGATTGTATTGAAGAGGCAAGAATTTGTTCTGCTTGTTAATATGAAGATCATCGAGGACTGAGACAGATGAACAGGTGCCCGATTAGTAATTACAACATGTGACATGTTCCTGATTCATAATGACCCTGTAACTGTCAGATCTCATTTCCTTGTGACCTAAACTGAAGATCTGATAAGTGGTGAAATAAAACTAAACAGGTTTGAATTTTTTATTTAGATTTAGACAGAGCATGAAGATTAAAATGAATATGACAAATATGAGTTACTGGGTAATTATGTACTTTTGATTTATTTACATCCATACTCCTCCTTAAGGGAATCTGTCCATCCATCCATCATCCATCCATCCTTCCATTACCTTCCACTTGTTCTGAAGTTGGGTCATGGGAGCAGCAGGGATGCCCAGACATCTCTTTCCAGCCATCTCTTCCAGCTCTTCTGGGAGGACCCCATGACATTCCCAGGTCAACCAAGACATAGTCTCTCCAGCTTGTCCTGGGTCGTCCCCGGGGTCTCCTCCCAGTCGGACATGCCCGAAGCACCGCCCTATGGAGGTGCCCGAACCATCCTTAACAGATGCCCACTCCACCTCAACTGGCTCCTCTCGTTGTGGAGGACCAGCGGTTCTACTCCAAGGCTCTCACAGATAACTGAACTCACCCTATCTCTAAGAGAGACTCCAGCTACCCTGTGAAAGAAATTCGTTTCAACCACCTGTATCTGCAATCTCATTCTTTCGGTCACTACCCAGAGTTCGTGGCCATAGATGAGGGTAGGAACGTAGACCGACATGTAAACAGAGATTTCTCCCACTTCACCACAACGGATTGGCACAGAGTCCGCAATTCTGCAGATGCTGCACTAATCCATTTATCAGTCTCACACTCCAGTCTTCCCTCACTCAAACAAGACCCAAACTACTTGAACTCCTACACATTAGGCTGAAGAATGCAATCCAATCTTTTCTGACTTAGGACCATGTCCTCAGATTTGGAGGTGCCGATTCTCATCCCAGCCACTTCACACTTGGCTGCAGACCACTCCATCGAGAACTAAAGATCACGGCACAGTGATGCCAACAGCACCACATCGTCTGCAAAGTGCAGAGATGGAATCCTGAGGCCATCGAACCATGCTCTGTCCATCTCCTGGCTACACCGAGAAATTCTGTCCATAAAAGTTATGAAGAGAATCGGTGACAACAAGCAGCCCTGGCCGAGTCAAACTCCAACCCTAAAGGGGACTGACTTACTGCCAGAAATGCATACCAAACTCTTGCACCACTTGTATCAGGACTGAATGGCCCATAGCAATGAACCCCCAATCCCACAGTCACAGAGAGGACCCCCCTCAGCGTACCCCATGGAACACGGTCGAATGCCTTCTCCAAGTCCCCAAAATACATCTGAGACACAGACACGCTAAAGAGACTATGTCTCTCGATTTGCTTTGGAATCGTCCCAGAAGAGTTGGAAGAGGTGGCCGTGGAAAGAGATGTCTCAGCCTCCCTTCTCAAGCTGCTGTCCCCGCAACCCGACTTCGGAACAAGCGGAAGTTAATAGATGGATGGAACTAAACAAACATCAGACAACAGTTAATCTGAGCTCTCGTCTAAGTTTTATAAACTTCTGATAGACTTTTATTTTGTGATTGGTGTAAAAATGCAGAAAAGATCCACTGAACTTGTGATTTTGGTTTATTTGGTCTCTCACTCCTCTGGCCCCTGCTGCCTCCTGATGACGAGGAAAATGGACCCTTCAGGTAAAGTCTTGATCATGTTCCAGGCCTCAAAGCGGGTCATATCCTGCAGACTCTGTCCCTGGACCTGCAGAATTTCATCTCCACACAGCAGGCCACTCTGCTCTGCTGCTCCACCTGAAGAACCCAGAAGAATCTGCAATTTGACTCAAAGTTTCCTAACAGGAACAGAATCTTTCCAGAGGACTTATCTGTCTGAGTGTACCTTTAAAGATCCTGTTGATGACCAAAGGTCTGTCTCCAAGGATTGATCCTTTTCCTCCTTCCAGAGTAAAACCGACACCCCCTGCACCTTTCTCCAGCTTCACTTTCATGGAGGCTTCCTGCTTCTCTGCTGCAGCAAAAGAAACTGATGTTACTCTTAACATATGGGAAAACAGAACAGGAAATCTGAGTTTTACAACAGCTGTGAAGGGACTACCTGCTGAACTGTCCTCTCGGTCTCTCTGGACTCCTTCCTCTTGGATGTCCTCCACAGCTTTCTTGCAAATAACAACCACAGCCAGTTTTTGACTGCGAGCCTCACGCAGAGCTGCGGTGGCGTCGGCATGTGTGACATAACGCAGACTTTGTCCGTTGATCGACAGAACCTCGTCTCCTTTCTGGATGGTTCCCTCCTGAGCAGCCAGTCTGCTGGGAAACACTCTGTGCACCTGGATGGAGGACCAGAGAGGTGTTATATCGAGCTGCTGGGAAACTCATGACACTGTTGGGGGTCTGTTAGGGGTCTGGGTCAGTTATCCTGGCCCCTAACCATAGAAACTGGGATTAGTAAAATGGAAAAAGATAATAAATCCTAATCTAAAATATGTGGACGATGTTGTGTTTACTGTTGGAGCTTTGTTCTCCAGGTCGGACCCCCCGGCGATGCTGAAGCCCAACCCAGCGCCCTCCTCTTTATGCAGAATCACAACATGGATATCCACCAGCTGCTGCAGGGAGAAGCAGATGAAGTCAGGTTTGATGCTGTCACCTCATTTATTTTTTTAAATTTTTTTTAAATTTTTTAGTTTAGTTTATTCAGTTTATTCACACACACACACACACACACACGAAAGAAGCATAATACATAATACATATCTGCAAAATAACAGTGCATAAATCAGGTCTCCAAAAAACTATTTAAAGCTTATAGACGGAGCCTGGGTACATATTGCATACAAATTATAACATCTGAATTAGTTGCCACATCCCTTTTTTTCAGTTCACAGGCAAATCTTTTCTTTACTTTTCTATACTTTAATGTTCAAATGTAACATTTATTGGTACTCTGAAACAATCCAGGTAAAGTCTGCTTTCCCCCAAAATCTGACAAACAAGGCTTTGTTTTGTTTGTGGAAACTTCCATAGAATTTTTCTCCCTTGCTTCACAGAGAAACCACTAATGTTTGTACACTGACAGCTTGGACAATGATGTTTGACTCTTGTCAATTTTCACTTTGAATTGAAAAAGCTCCTTGAAAAAGAAGAGAAGTCTAGTTCCCTTTAAAAACAGGGTGACAAAGTCGTGGATGGCTGAGAATCTGCACCAACAGAATTTGTTGTTGGACACTTTTAATCATCACTGTGTAAGCAGTGAGGTTCCAAAATCACACCTGAGTAAGAATGACATTTTACTTAATCTTGGAAATCTGTAAAGAGTGCTCAGAATGTCTTCTAGACTTTCAGCTTCTGTCCAACAAAACTTCTCTTAAATGGTCACTGATATAAATGTGAAGCCTCTGCCTCCAATACAGATCTGAGCCTTATATAGTAGTATACATAGTACAACACTATGTCAGTATTCTCCTGGTTTAATATAATGCCTGCCATCTCTGGAAATGGATTACAGTAAATGGTATTCAGTTAAATAAATATGATACTCTCTGGAATCCAGAGGTGGGAAGAGTACTGAAAATTTGTACTCAAGTACAAGTACTGTTGCACTGCTTAAATTGTACTCAATTACAAGTAACATACTGATGTTATAAAATACTAAAGTAAAAGTACAAAGTACTCTTCTCAAAAACTACTCAGAGTATTAATTACTATTTAACCAATTGATGTTTTATTGTGTTGTCAATAGCTTTCATTTCGATGTACTGTATATAAAAGCTACATTCAAAGCACATTTCTCAGGCGCTCAGATACTCTGTCTTCTTTTAGTACCAGGCAAACCGATGGCAGTGACAGTATCTAAGATCTTTGCGTACTTAGCCAAACTAATAACCCACACATACAAACAATAAAAAAGTAACATCATACAGGTAGGTGTAAAACCTCGTATACCACAATATGTTTTCGAGATTAGATGCTGAAGTCTTGTAAGCTGCTATCACCATAGAGATCAAACAAAGTTTGCATCTGGACGTTTCTCCTTTTCGCCCTCTGTACATGAAACATTCCTCCAGGTACGGCCACAGACACTCGTCCTCAGCCTTTACCTCATCATTTTCTCTTTTGACAGTGTTGTCTTCTGTCTCCATTTTGGCTTTTTCTCCATATTTTCGTCCCATAAATGACTACTACTACTCTACGGAGTTGTCCTTTGCCTACGTCATAGGTAACTGGTGATCTGACAGCCTTATTGGCTGCAAAGATGCAGATGAATGGTTTGAATATTAATTCAAATTGCGGTCGTACTCAATAAAATCTTCTGATTTTAAAAGTAGCAAAGTAGATTACATGGTCTAAATTGTACTTGAGTAAGAGTAAAATTACACACTTAAAAGAAATACTCATAAAAGTACAAGTACCCAAAAAACTACTTTAATTACAGTAACATGAGTATTTGTAATTTGTTACTTCCACCCCGGCTGGAATCCAACAGGACAAACTTGACCTTCAACATCCAAAATCCGAGCTACTAAACAAACATCAGCATCAACAGGACGAAGAGGAGAAATTTGTGAAGTAAATGTGAATGAGTTATACTTCAAGACGTCTTTGTTTACCTTCACTGTTACTTCATCCAAGTCTTTAACTTCCTGTATCATCATCTGTATTTCTTCTGAAGGAATGACTGAGATGACAGAGTGAGCAGAGATCAGAGTTGCATCACTATCACTCCTCTCCTGCTCAATGGTGCATTCCCTCAGTGTGGCCAAACTGTGGATAAAATCACAGCTGTTAGCTGTTGTAACAGACAGAGAGCCATTAGCCATGTTGAAAATACATATCAGCCGCTGATACACACTGTGGCCTGTTAGCCGCTGTTACAGGTGGTTTCAAACTCAACAAAAGTGAGTGCTCAAGTCCAAAGCAAACTTTATGAAATCCTCAGAAATCATATAAAAATATTTCAAGTATTGAAGTATGAAGTATCAGGATATTTCAAGTATTGCTCATAATACTAATAGTTAGTGCGTTTTTAATACTTTAATTTCTCGGTGGACCTCTCACCTGACAGAGAATCCTTTTTTATTTTGATCCTGGCCCAGATTGGAGTCCTGAGTGCTACTTACATCCTCAGCCGAGAGGTCTGTCAAAGTTTGGAGGCAGGAGTTATGATAGGAAACTGGAAGTGAGCGCATTAATGCTTGTGAAACCTGGAAGAACATGTTAAAGGCAGTATTAGCAAAAATACTTTACACAAGCATGTAGCTACAATATATAGGAACAAGTGTGCATATACCACTTTGAACTCAGTGTTCCAACATTCACAAGAGGAATCTGCTACCATATCTATAGTTTGATGAGGTACAACAAAGATGCTGCAACAATGGGGAGCCTGGAGCATATATCAACCACCCTACCATCCAAGTATGGATACAAAGCCCCACTGAATAGCCCTAAGGAACTGAATTCTCTTGCCAAGACTGTTGTAAAGTACCCTCTGAAAGGATGCTAGAAGATTTGTATTCAGTGCTGCTCATTATTCCTACTAGCACCATCACAGTGACTAACAAGCTGATATACACCGTAGGAGCAATGGTCCTTGAAATGCTTGGCTATAAGATCAAGACTTCAACTAGTATGGAGCATTGTCACCCATTTAGGAGCAGATCTGAAGCTAAGATAAATCACCCAGCTGTCTGTGTGCAGAAGAAAGGTTTAATGAAGAAAAACCTACTTTGACTATACAGTACATTTGTCAATACCTGAGGCTCTAGAGACTGACAAACAACGCCTCACAGCTCTGGCTACTCGCCAAAAGAGGTACAGTACACTCAAGTAGCAGAAGGCAGGAGAATAAACAGGGTGTTCTCCACCACACCATCCAGAGTTTATCTCTTAATGGCAGGGCCACCCAGAGCAGAGTCTGAGCAATACTGGAGTGGCATGTTGGAGAAAGAGGCATCACACAAGGATAATGTCCCCTGGCTACAAGATCTAAGATCTGAATACAGTAATTTCCCAGAATAAGTATCAGTACTCATCACAGTGGCAAACATCCAAAACAGACATCTATTTATCTTCTAGAATGTTCACTGGAATATTATTACAGATTTTTATTAAAGTGGAAAAATTAGAACTGCCCTCTCGTTTGACCACTCCTGTTTCTTTTCAGCATGATGAAATAAATGTTAGTTTAAATGAGAACAATGAATAAAGTTCATGTAATGTTCAAATAAAATGGTTGTGCAATGTACAGAAAGAGCTAAGATATTTTGCATAATGCTTGTTCTAAGCTATAAAGTTTGGAAATATTCAATACTTGTTTCATTTGTCTCATGATCTGAGGGTGCCACTGTGGATACCTGGTTACTGAAGGCAATGATTTTCCCAAATTGTTCTTCTTCTTCAGTCTTCGGGGATGGCTCTTCTGTGGGAGGAGTAGAACTCTGAGATGACTTCAGCATCTCTCCAGGAGTTTCTTCTGTGTTTCCATCTGAACTGATCTCTGCAGGATTTTCACTGGATCTTGCAGGTGTTGCTGAAAGAAGACTGGACTCTGTGGAGTTGCTGATATCCACCATTTCTCGCTCAGATTCCTGGTCAGATGTTTGGACTTTAGCATCATTTTGGTCTGGAGTTAGATGAGCATCATTTTTCACCATGCTGGGATCGGAGTTGATGATATTGCAGAGTGACAATTCTGACTCACTAGAGGACTCACTGGAAGGAGGTTGATTTTCGCAAGTCTTGGCATCCGTTTGATGACAATCTTCAAATGTGGCTGGGATGATTCCAGAGAGTTCAGCAGAGTCCGCTCCATTGTTTATTTTTCCATCACATGAAAATTGGTCTGACTGTGTCTGTTTGGGGAATTTATGTTGACTCTTGTCATGTGAACCAAGAGAGAAACTGCAAACGCTTGCAGACTTCTCCTCCAGCAAAGATACAGAGGTGGAGGGGGCAGTAGGCCTCCTGACACTACTCCTTTTGACTTGTGGCCCTGGACTAGAAAAGGTCTCAAAAGAGTGAATCTTTTGCTTGATTGACATGTTCCTCTCAAAAGAGGTAGATTTATCCCCAAAGCTTCTGCTGATACCTGCAGGAGACTTCTCTTCTGATGAATAAGCATGCTTTCTCTGTTCTTGATCATTCCAGATTTTCCTGAGACTCTGTGGAAACCAAGCAGGTTTGGGTGCCACAGGGGGTGCCGTCTTTAATCCTGAAGGTTTCTGAGCCATAGTCGATGCTTGTTCTGTGACGTTCTCCTCATCTGTCATGGTGGCAGGGATGCTGCTGTTTGTACTTTCCTGATGATGAAAGATCTCAGGAAGGTCTTCAGACAAGCAGTTTGAAAGAGGAACCCAAGGGTCTTGAAGCTGATCTTCAGAGTGTGGATTGATACGAGCCTGTCTCCTCAGACCACCTTTCTTCAGCTTGGAGCAGAGTGCAGCAGTAGTTTCACCTATACACAGAATAATATTTCTGAAACAATTTCATGACACACATTTATGTTTTAAAATATAAATTGACTTCAAAAGTAAACAAGTTTCTACTGCTGAAAATAAACAGGTTACAGACAACAACGACAGGAAAGCCCTGCTTAAACAGGAAGTTGAGGCCATCTTCATTGAAACATCAGTAACTTTTAACAATAATTTGCTATCAGATTGTCTGAAGAGCTGATTGTAGAGCTAGATACTGATGCTGACATGTTACCTGTCTCCTACCTGTTTGGAGTTGGTTCTTGGTATTCGATGCAGAGTCTAATTCTCCTTTGCTTCGCTTTAACTCTTTTCTTATAAGTTCTTCTTCCTGCCGCACAAACAGGAAGTGGCTTTTTTTTTTTTTTTTTTTTCAGAAACCACAGACAAGTGCAACAGAATACACACCCCTCTTGTTTAAAACTTCATCTGCAAAACTATTTCCTAAATACTGACCTAAACCAATGAGCTAAAAGAAACCCAGCACTTAAATGTGACTACTGTATAAATAAAAATGTAAAAAAAAAGAAAAAAAAGAATCAATTGTAACAATTCTTAAAATATTCATCAGCCTCAGTGTTTAAATGTTGGGGGAGACACGTCTGGTTTCACCGGAGGACACAGAGAAAAAAAAAACAACAACTATTACTACAACAGCAACAACCATTATTACAACTATTACTACTACAAACAATGCTAATACTACTACAACAACTATTACTACAACAGCAACAACCATTATTAAAACTATTACTACTACAAACAATGCTAATACTACTACAACAACTATTAC